AGGCGTGGGATCAAGATGGTTAAGTTGTGATAGTTAAGTCATGGCCACAAAATAAAAGTAAGGCGTGGGAATGAGGTAGTTATGTTGTGACAGTTAAGTCATGGACATAACTTTAGTCAGACCCACAACTTAGTAAGGTGAGCGAATTAGATAATTAAATTGTGGCCACGACTTAGTAAGGTGTGGGCATGGTATAAATAAGTCGTGGCCTCCACTTTATAACATGCGTGAACAACATAATTAAGTCATGGCCAAAATTTTGTAAGGTGTTGGAACAAAATAATAAAGTACTGGCCATGACTTAGCAAGGTGTGGGAACAATATAATTGACTTGTGATATTTAAGTCATGACCATGACTTAGCAAGGCAAGGGAGCAAGATAATTAAGTTGCAGTAAAGTCATGGCCACAACTGAGTAAGGTGTGGGAACGAGACAGTTAAGTTGCAGTAAATAAGTCATGGACACAAATTAGTAAGTCATGGGAACAAGGTAGTTGTGATAAGTTGTGGCCACAAATTAGTAAGGTGTGGGAATGAGGTAGTTAGGTTGCAATGATTAAGTCATGGCCACAACTTTAGTCAGGGCCACAACTTAGCACAGTTTGGGAATGAGATCATTAAGTCATGGCCATGACTTAGTAAGGTGTGGGCATGGGATAAATAAGTTGTGGCCTCGACTTTATAATGTGGGAACAGCCTAATTAAGTCATGGCCAAAATTTAGTAAGGTGTTGGAACAAAATAATAAGAATTGGCCCTGACTTAGTAAAGTCAAAATCAAGAAAACACAACCTCCACGCTAAAGCTAATCTCTGCTACTGCCCCTAGTAGTAAGCGCTAAGCTAACAGTGATTCACATTAACATATTTTCCCTGTTCTCCATTAAACACAGACGTCTGAAGACATTTGCCAGGACGTTCCAGACGTTTATTTGAAGCTTGTAGAGACATATAAATAATAATCTATTACTTTGTAGTTGTACATTGGCGTCTTGAGGCCAAGAGCTCTGGCCTGCAGCTGCCACTGTTTTCCATTTCTAATAACTAACTAAAACCTGGTTCCCACTCATTCTCACGTATCTACAACTTCCAGATGGCCTACCATGATGTATAAATCTCAAAATTGATCTACCCATTAGAATTCAATACGTGATTGGTTGATTTCACTGTCCATTGGTTATTATGTTAGTGGTTATTCTGACTCATTAGGCCTTCTGTTCAGCTCCTGAAGTCCTAACCAGTGGTAAAACTAGCATTATCTTACTATCTTACCTAAGTATCAGTATTCTGATTGGATAACTGTTTGACACTTTTCCAACCAAAGGTTAACAATGAAATAAAAAAAATACTTGCAGAGATTACCTTAAACAATCATGCTGATTATATTAAATATAAAAACAAAAAATTAGAGACATGTTTTTAATGTTTTGCAGAAATCTCTAAAAGCCTAGAAGGCCCTAAGGGTTCACTCCTGCCTGGAATCTATTAATCCCGCTTGTGCACGTACTGTGGCTTTAGATTTCGTGCCGTAATAAACACGGTCTCGCGTGGTGACTGTCGTGATTTAATAACGCTGCGTAAAATGCAAAAGTTCCTTAGCAAGTGTTAATATTCTCCACTGATCCTTCCTCACTCTCTCTCACACCATTGCCATCTTTCCTCCAACCATGCTTTAATTAAAGCAGAATACATCAGTCCCACAAATGTGCGCGTGTGTGTGTGTGTGTTTGCCCGGGCCGATCCTCAGAGACTGCTGTTTTAGCACCAGAGATAAATAGAGCTTGTGTGTATGAGTCTGATTTAGGAAGGAAAATGATGATGTGATACAGTGAAATGATGTTTGTGTGGTAATGCTGAGGCACATTCTTGCTGAGATGTGAGAGCTTTAATTTTTGCATTTGAATAAGCTTAGACTGCGCTTAAAGGCTGAATGCTTCTTTCAGATACTGAGCCAGCTTCCTGTTTGGTTCGTCGTCAACACAAAATCGTTTTCCGCTCGTTAGTCAATATCACGCGGGCACGGTCTGCAGCCGTGATGTGCTGCTTGTGAACGAGTCGGCTCTTTATGTCTGAATATCTGATATCTGAAGACACATTTTTATTTGCTTATTTTTTTTGTACGGAGCCCCACTGCCGACGTCCATTAATAAAGAATAATGCATGGGAAAAGGACCCACAACTAACTGAGGTGTAAGTGACATGGTCAAATCAGGGGAACATGGTAGTTAAGTTGTGGTAATTAAGTCATGGCCACAACTTTAATCAGGGTCACAACTTAGTAAGGTGTGGGAATGAGATGATTAAGTCCTGGCCACAGCTTATTAAGGTGTGGGTATCGGATAAATATGTCAAGGCTTCAACATTGTAACATGTGGGAACAAAATAACTAAGTTGTGCCCAAAATTTAGTAAGGTGTTGGGAAAAAATAATTAAGTCGTGGCCATGAATTAGTGTAGAAACGAAGTAATTATGTTGTGATCGTTAAGTCATAGCCATGACTTAGCAATGTGTGGGAACAATATAGTTGAGTTGTGATATTTAAGTCATGGCCATGACTTAGTAAGGCAAGGGAACAAGGTAGTTAAGTTGCAATAATTAAGTCATGGCCACAAATTAGTAAGGCATGGGAACTGGGTAGTTAGGTTGCAATAATTAAGTCATGGCCACAATTTTAGTTGGAGCCACAGCTTAGTATAGTGTGGGAATGAGATAATTAAGTCATGGCCACAACTTAGTAAGGTGTTGGAACAAAATTAAGTTGTGGCCATGACTTAGTAAGGTGTTGAAATGAGATAAAGGTGTTGAGATGAGATAAAGATATGATATTTAAGTCATGACCATGACTTAGTAAGAAGTGGGGGTAAGATAGTTAAGTTGTGGTCATGACTTAGTTAAGTTGTGATAGTTAAGTTGAGGTCATGACTTAGTAAGGTGTGGGAATGGAATAATTAAGTTCTGGCCACGGCTTAGTAAGCTGTGGGCATGGGATAAATATGTTGTGGCCTCGACTTTATAACATGTGGGAACAAAATAATGAAGTTGTGGCCAAAATTTATTAAGATGTTGGAACAAAATAATTAAGATGTAGCCATGACTTAGTGTGGAAATGACATTAAGTTGTGATAGTTAAGCTGTGTTCACAACTTAGTAATGTGTGGGAATGAGATAGTTAAGTTGTGATAAAGACCCAGTAAGGTGTGGGAATGAGAAAGTTAAGTTGTGATAGTTAAGTTGTGGTCATGACATAGTAAGGTGTGGGAACATGAGTTAGTTGCAATATTTAAGTCATGACCACAATAGTAATGCGTGGGAACGAGATAGTTAAGTTGTGATGTCATGGCCACAACCTTAGTCGGGGCTGCAACTTAGTATGGTGTGGGAATGAGCTAATTAAGTTGTGGCCTCTACTGTATAACATGTGGGAACATTATAATTAAGTCATGGCCAACATTTTATAAGGTGTTGGAACGAAATAATAAAGTATTGGCCATGACTTAGTAATAGCAGGAACGAGATAGTTAAGTTATAATAGTTCAGTTGTGGTCACAACTTAGTAATGTGCGGGAACAAGATATTTAAGTTGTAATAGTTAAGTCATGACCACAATTTACTAATGCGTGGGAACAAGATAGATAAGTTGTGAAAGTTATTTCATTGCCACGACTTTGTAAGGTGTGTGAAAAAGATAATTAAGTAGCAATAGTTAAGTCATGGCCACAAATCAGTAAGCTGAGGGACTGAGGTAATTTAGTCGTGACAGAAGTCATGCCTACATGACTTCTCTCGCTCTTCTGTTTTACCATGCATTATTTTTACTGTTATTTATATATTTGTATAGTATTACTTTTTAATTAAGAAGGCATGTCATCAGAAACTCTGTAGTTTTGTGTTTTTTTGTAAACAAAGACTAAACCATAACATTCTCCATTCTTGCTGAAAATTCACTATTATTCTGTAGGTCTAAACAGGACTGCTTCTTGCTATAAGCCTTATAAATTGCTTAGGGCCTCTAAACCAGTGGTTGACCCTGAGAGCATGCAGGATCTGAAGAGTTCATCTGCAAAAACAGATCCATTTTAATGAATTTTCATAAATTATGTTTTTATTGTACATTCCAAATAATAGCATTCAAACTGCAGTTGTTTTGATTATGTGAAAATAACAAATTACAGGTAACTTACTAAATTAAACTTTATTGATTTTTTTTTTATTGAATTTTATTTGGCAGAAGCAGATAACTCCAGTGGTCATTTCTTGTTTCAGGGTTAAACAAAGCCATTTAATTGACACAAGTGCAATATTTAACATTGTTTACCATAAAACAAACAGGTAAAGTGCTGAAAATTGCAACTAAAACAGCCCATTAATGGTCAATATTAAACTTCTATGAGATCAGATCTCTGAAAATTCCTATTTTGGCTTTAACACCCAAATATTGACCGTTTCTGCTGTAAAATGTGAACTTGCAATGCCTTGAAAATGGACAACAACAGATTTCGTCACAAAACGTAACTAGGGTTCAGAATGTGTTACTGAAATAACAGTCAGCTGTTTTTTTTAAAGATGGCGTTTATCAGTTTTTGCAAATGAACTCTATTTATTTATTTATTAACCCCCATATACACTTTAATATGTTGTATTTCTCCTCTATATACACTACCGTTCAAAAAAGTTCAGAATCGCTGTATAAAATTAATATAGAAAATTATATTATTATAAAAATATATTTTATAATATATAAAATATATAAAAATGTATAACATTTGATTTTGTGGTCTCTACAGGTATAAAATAATTCTAATATGATGCTAATATTCTATAGAATGATCTATCGGAAATAAAAACGAGCAATAAATGACATGAAAAGTGGTGAGCAAATCTTGCTGATCAAATATTATAAATAATATTATCCATGGTTATTTTATGCCAAGAAATTGTTATTAACAAATAATTACGGTTTATAATTTAATAACATTTACTCTTTTCTGCTACATAGAAATACCTTGTGTAGAAGTCCACGAGTCATCACCATATACTGCTGCACTGCTGTTAGCATTAGCTCATAAGCTCATCTGAAGGGGCAGCCTCTGTTACTCAGCCTTATCCAGAATGAAAACCTCCCAGTTTAACCTGCAGTGAACAAAAGGCATGAAATATCAGGCATGAATGTTAACTGAACCTGTTTTATCTCAGTCTTTTTATCTCTGTGCCTAACAGAATCATTAAGATGTGAACAAAGTCATCAAGAGTGGTTTGATGTGAGTTCTACAGAAACCTACTGAAGAAATGTTCACAGTGGTAGTGATAGGAACCAGATGTCTGAGGCCTTGAATGCCTCTGAATGCTGTCTTAGAGAAAGCTATTACATGCAACGCTGCCTGATAATATACACTTACTTTCAATGCTTCTGCTCAAATTACCAGCCAAAAGTGGGTGTGGCTTATATCATAATTGAATGTGAGAACGAGATCCTAATGCGTGGCCATGACTTAGCAAGGCATTGGAACAGGATGATTAAGTCATGGCCGCGACTTATTAAGGCATAGGAACGAGATCCTAATGTGTGGCCATGACTTAGTAAGGCATGGGAATGAGATAATTAAGTAGTGGCCACGACTTAATAATGTGTAAGAACGGGATCCTAATGTGTGACCATGACTCAGTAAGGCATGGTAATGAGAAAATTAAGTCGTGGCCACAACTTAGTAAGGCATAGGAACAAGATCCAAATGCATGGCCATGACTTAGTAAGACATGGAAACGAGATAATTAATGGGAATGAGATAATTAAGTAATAGCCATAACTTAGTAAGGCATAGGAACGAGATCCTAATACATGGTCACAACTAAGTAAGGCGTGGGAACTAGATAATTAAGTTGTGGCCATGCCTTACTAAGTCATGGCCACGACTTAATTATCTCATTCCCATGCCTGACTAAGTCATGACCACGACTTAGTAAGGCATGGGAATGAGATAATTAAGTCATAGCCACGACTTAATAAGGTGTAGGAACGAGGTCCTAATGTGTGACCATGACTTAGTAAAGCATAGGAATGTGGCCACGACTTAGTAAGGCATAGGAACAAGATCCTAATGCGAAGCCATGATTTAGTAAGGCATGAAAATGAGATAATTAAGTCATGGTCATGATTTAGTAAGGCATGAGAATGAGATAATTAAGCTATAGCCATGACTTAGTAAGGCATAGGAACAAGATCCTAATGCGTGGCCATGACTTTGTAAGGCATTGGAACAGGATGATTAAGTCATGGCCACGACTTAGTAAGGCATTGGAATGAGATAATTAAGTCATGGCTGTGATTTACTAAGGCACGGGAACGAGATAATTAAGTCATGGCCATGACTTAGTAAGGTGTAGGAACGAGATCCTAATGTGTCACCATGACTTAGTAAGGCATTGGAATGGGATGATTAAGTTGTGGCCATGACTTAGTAAGTCATGGGAATGAGATAACTAAGTCGTGGCCGCGACTTAGTAAGGCATGGGAACGAGATAATCAAGTCATAGCCACGACTTAGTAAGGCGTAGGAACAAAATCCTAATGCGTGGCCATGACTTAGTAAGGTATGGGAACAAAATAATTAATCCTTGACCACAGCTTAATAAGGCATGATCTTGTTCTCAAGCCTTACTAAGTCGTGGCCACAACTTAATTATCTCATTCCCACATCTTACTAGCCACACCACACATGAGGATCTTGTTCCCATATGTTAATGTAGCCACACAATCTTTTTATTTATACGGGATGTCACCAGCAGGGCGAATTTTGACTTGTATTAAAACAGCTCTGAATTTCGCAAGTCAGTCTTAATTGCTGGTGGCACTCTTGATTTCCGAGCGATTACTTGACAGCACTATTCCCAACCACAGAACATCCTGCTTGCTTTTGCTGAATACAATATATTTCCCTCACACAAAACCAGTTTCACTCGCTTCCTCTGACATAAATACACCTTTTCATTCACCCCGACTCCGTCTCTCCGTCTCTCAGATGAGGCATGTGGGTGGGAGTGTGTAGGTGCATGAGACCGTTTCTTTTTATGAGCGAATGGATTTGTCTTTTGACGAAATTGTTATTCAGTTCTTCCCATTCTTTCAATGAAAAAAAAAGAACAAAGCTCAAGTCATTGCTTAACAGGCTCCTTCTCTTGAGTTACCATACATGCTCGAAAAACTCTAAAGCAAACAAAGCGAATAACAGACACCCACATAAACAGCTTGAATCATATTATATATAATCGTATATACAAAAGAACAGAGTCTGAAGTTGTCAGATCTATAAAGCTCAACTTAAACATAAGTAGGCTTGATAGAGACACAACTTAAGGTGTACTTTATAACTTTAGTGTATAATAGTGCCAGTATATCACTGCTGTCAGAGCAAAACCTCATATCTCCACTTTTGTTGTTTTTCAGTTTTTGACATAATTTGAAAATGCCTGTTGTCCTTTACGTTGTACGTAAATTTCACAACGAATGGACCAAAAGAAACGTCCCAAAATGACTTGGAAAAACGTCTGGTTCCATTGATTTACATTAAAAGTAGGGTAGGTTTTTTCCTTCTCCTGTAAAGTTACCATTTTGGAGATAGTTTGGTTGTATGTCGTTGCTTTTGGAACAAAACCTTATATCTCCAAATTTACAGGAGAAAGAAAAAATATTCGTAACTTGTTATGGAAGTTAATGTAATAAGACTTTCCAGGTAATGTTGGACCACTTCTGGCGGTCCCTTCATCATGATGTCTTAAAACAAGGCAAAGGGTAACTGGACTTTGCAAATTCTGCAAAACAAACCAAGAAAAATGACAAAAGTAGACATACATGTTTTTTGCAGTGGCGATATATTGTTTTGTTACACTTTCCTTCTTGTAATCTGCTTCGGTTTTGTGTACATTTTCATGTTTTCCCAGATGGAAATCTAATATATGGCCATATATGAATATATATGATAAGAGGCCAGGCTTATATCTCTGTTGTTGGAACAAAACCTTGTATCTCCATTTTTTGTCGTTTTTCAGTTTTTGACATAATTCGAAAATGCCTGTTGATCTTTACATTATGTGCAAATTTCATGATGAATGGACCAAAAGAAACGGCCCAAAATTACTAGTAAAAACATCTGGTTCCATTGACTTACATTAGAAGTAAAGCATGTTTTTTCCTTCTCCTGTGAAGTTACCATTTTGGAGGTTTTGTTCTAATGACAGCGATATATTAAGTATATGTGGTGTAGATCTATCAACAAATATTGAACATATATGCATCAGACATGGATCATACATCTATGCCTGATACAGTTGTTACTATATTATCTGTACTTTTACAATCAAATGGTTCTTTGAGTGTTAAATATATAACCAACTGCATAACTCAAAGATATGTTTTAAAGGGTGTAGCTTTATGTTGTAGTTTAATGTGAAAATATGTATCATGATGAATTATTTTCCTTTCTCTCAGAGCCCGTAATGCTGAAGTTGTCCTTCAGTGGGATGTATCCAGCTGCTAAATTCACCAAGCAGCGCTTCATTACACACATCTGAAGAACCGTTCACTCTTACTCTGCAGTACTTCACTCTTGAGGCTGCACATGCACAAAGACTTTGCCTTTCTTCCCTGATGCACTTTATATTTTTCCTGTGCGCTGGGTTCGTGACTGTGCTAGACCGTGAGATGACCCTGAAATTTATTTCAGTGCTTGGATAGTCTTAATGGTGGCCATGATTTAGCAAACAGTGGCCGCAAGTTAATTAACCAAACGGGTAAAATGTGTGTGCAACGTGGTGAAAGCAAAACAGATTCCATTTGGAAGTTTATAGAACACTGTTTCCCAAAAAAAAATCCAGCCAAGAGTGGTCAGAAACTGACCACTGATTAAAGATAGAGAGAATGGCCAATACTGGGCCTGACAACAGATGGGCTTCAGTCTCAAACTGTGCACTAGTAGGGTGAGCCTACAAAGTACATGGCCAAAAATATGTGGTCACCCATCCTACTTATTGAGTTCTAGGGTTTCAGCCACACTTATTGAAAACAGGTGTATGAAATCAAGTGCAAGATCACTAAGATGGCTATGTACAATGGCAAGTGTTGGCTGGAGTGGTGCAAAGCTTTCTGTAACTGCAGTGGAAATGTCTTCTTTGGAGTGATGAATCCCGCTAATCTGGCAGTCTGATGGATGAATCTGGTTTTGCTGAATGCAAGGAGAACTCTACCTACTACAATGCATAGTGGCAACAGTAAAGTTTGGTGGAGGAGGGATAATGGGCTGGGGCTGTTTAAGGGTGATATTAATGCCACACCATACAAAAACATTTGATATGCTTTCAACTTTGTGGCATCAGTTTGGGGAAGGGCTTTTCCTGTTCCAGGACTGTAACACTGAGCAAAGTCCTTAAAGACATGGTTTGGTTTGACCCCTGACCTCAACCCCACTAAATACCTTTGGGATGAACTGGAACATTGATTGTGAGCCAGGTCTTCTCGTCCAACGTTATTGCCTGAACTCACAAATGCTCTTTTAACTTATTAGGCACAAATTCCTACAGACACACTTCAGAATCTTGTAGAAAGCTTCCCAGAAAAGTTGAGGCTGTTATTAACCCAAAGGTGGGGCCAACTCCATATTAATGTCCATGGTTTTGGAATTGGGTGTCCAACCAGCTCTTATAAGTGCGATGGTCAAGTGCATACATACTTTTGGCCAAAAAGTGTACAATACGGCATGTGGTATTGTAGCATATTTTGATACAAAATCACTGTGAAGATGAGGAAGTGACTTCAGGAGAAATGGACGTGTTGTTTTTTGACTTATAGACTGTAGGTAGTTCTTTCCAGGTGAAAACAATGTCTTACCCTGCTAAATAAAGGCACTTCAAATGTGTAAACAATAGGAGTGCATGGTGTCAGAATCATGACAGTATCCACAGATAAATGCTTAAAAAACAGCATTCTCTATAATATTTTTTCTATAAGAGCAACAAAAAGAAGTGTATATATGTATTTTATAACTGGCTGTTTAGCTGAATGGTTAAGTCACTTGCTCTCCCAATAAGGGAGCATGGTTCAAGCACAAGAAGGCACTGGTGCTGCATCATTTTATCTGTTC